TTCATCTTAAAGCCATTAAGACACAAACAAAATCATGTAGTAGCTTCAAGTAGCCCTCTTCATCTCATCCTAAGCTTGACACTTTTTTTTTCCTTTATTGATTTCAGAGAGAAAGGAAGTGAAAGGGAGAGAGAGATAGAAACATCGTTGAGAGAGAACACCGACTGGACACCTCCTGCATGCTCCCAATTGGGGATTGGGCCCACAAGCTGGGCATATGTCCTGACTGGGAATCGAACCCGTGACCTCTTGGTGCATGGGTCGATACTCAGACACTGAGCCAGACCTAAGCTGGTCACTTTTAAGTTACCAGATTTACAGAGAGGCTAGTCACCAAATACAATGGAGAGGGTTGTTTTACTACTAAGGCTGCTATGAATCAGACATTTAGACTATTATAATAGAGCACAGCTTAAAAAATATAATACTGTGGCCCCCGCAGGTTTGGCTCAGCGGTTAGTGCATCAGTCTGTGGTCCAGAGAGACCCAGGTTTGGTTTCTGCTAAGGGCACGTACCTTGGTTGCAGTTTGTCCCCGGCCCTGGATGGTCGTGCAGGTGGCAACCACTCGATGTGTCCCTTTCACAGAGATGTTTCTCTCTCTCTCTCTCTCTCTCTCTCTCTCTCTTTCTCTCTCTTCCTTTCTCTCCCTCCCACTCTATTTGAACAAAAAATGGAAAAATGTCCTCGGTGACATATATATATATATATATATATATATATATATATATATATACTGTTTATTTAACTTCAAAACCATTTTAGCATTCTAAACATACAACAAATAACAAAATGCTGAAAATGGTGTTTAGTACAAAAGGTTCTTGAACTTTCATTGATGCAGTGACTCTTCACTTGACTGACAATGAAGAGTTGTACAGTTTGTTTAAAAACAGTTTAAAACTACCACACTTAACTAAAAAAGGATTCAACACTTCTTATGCCAGCTGACATCCCTTTTTCACAGCTAAGAATGGCAAAATGCTCTGTCACTATATACAAAAAGAAGACAACATGAAGCTAAATGGATGCCGACTGCAGTGTCCACAGGTCCAGCCTCACAGTGCGTGCCCTGAACTACGGCCCCTCCAAAAGCATCTATCCCACAACCTTAACAGCAAGCAAAGAGCATCAAGAGCTTGTCTTGGTTGTTTGTCCTTTTTATATACTATAGATATGTAGAGTTTATAACTCAGAATTTCTAGCCAATAACCAAATAGTTAACACCACATTACATATTAAAAAAAGAAAATGCCAAAAACATCTTGAAATGCCTTGTCACACCAGCAGCAAAGTGCACAGAATAAAGAGAACATGAGAGCCTTTTTATTTTACAAATATCTGGAAATATGTACAACTTTGATACAGTTTCAGGGTACTCAATGCCCATGGCCACTTCATGTAAACTACTGATAATTTCTGAGCACTTTGAGAGACTACATGTGATCATGATCCAATTGTGTAATTAATCCTAATGAGGGCAATAGACATTTCTCAAATAAGAGCTGTGTCAATTACAGCACTCCCCTACTCTAAAGTATTCACAAGGAGACAGATAAACATTTTTTTAAAATTCATCCTCTTCTTCCTCCTCCTCCTCTTTTTTCTCCTCCTCCTCATCTTTGTCTTCCTCTTCCACCTTTTTTCATGCAACTTTAGTGGGACCCTTTGCACCATAAACTTTCCTTTGGACTTGTAGTTGGCAACATACTTCTCATACTTTATTGTTGTAAAGCTGCTTTTCACTGTCACTTAAGCTAATTCACATCTTACTCAGCTTCTTTGCCACATCTCCAGTAGAGATGTCAGGGTTTGTGGATTTGATGTTGGGGTGGAATTCTAAACAGAACAGGAAGAATCCAGATGGTGGCCTTTTGGAGACATTGGGGTTCTTTTTCTTCTTGCCTCTGTTAGCTGGTCCATAATCCTTCATTTCCTGATCATAATGTAATTTATCTGCCTTTACCATCTCATCAAATTTAGATCTCTCTTTCCCTGCCACTGTCTTTCACCTCTTAGAGCGCTTCTTGAAAAATTCTGCAAAATTGACAGGAACTTCTGGGTTTTTCTTGTTTCTCTCTGCATGTCTGCACAAAATGGAAATAGGCAAACATCTTGCCCTTTGGCTTCTTGGGATCACCTTTTGTCATCCTGACTGTATTGTTCATTAATCTGGGAAGTGCAGGATACCTGCAATAGAAATATTTTTAAAGAAAAATAAAGATTGTAAGAAGTCATCTTTCTGTAGGTTAAGGATATGGGCTGTGGCTTGAGGTACTTTATTATAAACACTCTATTTATGATTTCAAAGGTACTAGCCCAGGGAGATTTGTCTAGCCATCACCTGCCAGTTGGTAGAAGCAAGTGAAAAAAAAAAAAAAAGCAACACAGATCAAAGAGTATCAGGATTACCTCATTTTAAATTCTAAAATATTCTGGGATTTAATATACATATATATTTAAATATTTTTAAAAACTTAATGATTGATGACCAAGTGGGATTCATCCCAGGGATGCAAGACTGGTACAATATTCACAAATCAATAAACATGATACACCACATAAATAAAATAAAGAATAAAAACCACATGATCATATCAACAGATGCTGAAAAAGCCTTTGACAAAATCCAGCATCCATTTCTGATAAAAATGCTCAGCAATGTGGTAATACAGGGATCATATCTAGACATAATAAAGGCCATATATGAAAGACCTACAGCCAACATCATACTCAATGGGCAAAAACTAAAAGCATTATCCTTAAGAACAGAAACAAGGCAAGGATGCCCACTTTCGCCACTCCTATTTAACATAGTACTGGAAGTCTTAGCCACAGCAATCAGACAGGAAGAAAAAATAAAAGGGATCCAAATTGGAAAGGAGGAAGTGAAATTGTCATTATTTGCAGATGACATGATACTGTACATAGAAAACCCCAAAGACTCCATCAAAAGTTTACTAGACTTAATAAATGAATTTGGCAAAGTAGCAGGATACAAAATCAATGTCAAGAAATCGATAGCATTCCTATACACCAATGATGGAAGTCACAGAAAGAGAAACTAAGAAAACAATCCCATTTACCATTGCAGCAAAAAATAAAAAATAAAAAAAAAAATAAGCTACCTAGGAATAAAGTTAACCAAAGAAATAAAGAAACTATTCGCAGAAAACTACAGGTCATTGAAAAAAGCAATAGAGGAAGATATAAAAAAGTGGAAGCACATACCCTGTTCATGGATTGGGAGAATTAACATCATTAAAATGTCCATATTACCCAAAGCAATCTATAGATTCAATGCAATCCCCATCAAAATACCAATGACATACTTCACATAATTAGAACAATTATTTCAAAAGTTCATATGGAACCAAAAATGCCTCGAATAGCCACAGCAATCTTGAAAAGGAAGAACAAAGTTGGAGGGATCACAATACCAGATTTCAGGTTATACTGCAAAGCCACTATAATCAAAACAGCCTGGTGCTGGCACAAGAACAGGCATATAGACCAGTGGAACAGAACAGCGAACCCAGTAATGGGCCAAGGCAATATGCTCAATTAATATTTGACAAAGGTGGCAAGAGCATATAGTGGAGTAAGGACAGCCTCTTTAATAAATGGTGCTGGGAAAATTGGACAGCTACTTGCAGAAAAATGAAACTAGATCATCAGCTTACACCCTACACGAGAATAAACTCAAAATGGATAAAAGACTTAAATGTGACTCATGAATCCATAAAAATCCTAGAAGAGACTGTAGGCAACAAATTTTCAGACATCATATGCAGCAGATTTTTTACTGACACATCACCTAAGGCAATAGAAACACAGGAGAAAATGAACACATGGGACTACATCAAACTCAAAAGCTTCTGCAGAGCGAAAGATACAATCATCAAACCGGAAAGGCTACCCACTGTATGAACAGCATAATTGCAAATGATATATCAGATAACGGTTAATTTCCAATACATATAGAGTGCTTAAACAACTTCACAAAAGGAAGACAATGAATCCAATTAAAAAATGGGCAGAGGAACTAAATAGACACCTCTCCAAATAGAACATACAAATGGCTAAAGAACATATGAAGAAATGCTCATCATCACTAATCATCAGAGATCTCTCTAGATGCAAATTAAAACAACAATGAGGTATCACCTCACACCTGTCAGAATGGCTGCCATCAACAAATCATCAAACAATAAGTGTTGGAGAGGGTGTGGAGAAAAGGGGACTCTAGTGCACTGCTGGTGGGAATGCAGACTGGTGCAGCCACTATGGAAAACAATATGGTGTTACCTCAAAAAATTAAAAATTGAACTTCCATTTGACCCAGTGATTCCACTTCTAGGAATATACCCTAAGAAGCATAAAACACCAATCAGAAAGAATATATGTACCCCCATGTTTGTAGCAGCACTACTTACAATAGCTAAGATCTGGAAACAGCCCAAGTGTCCATCAGTAGAGGAATGGATAAAATGCTGTGGTACATATACACAATGGAATACTGTGCAGCTGTAAGAAAGAAAGATCTCTTATCCTTTGAGACTACATGGAGGGACCTGGAAAGTATCATCCTAAGTGAAACAAGCCAAACAGAGAAAGACAAGTTTCATATGATCTCAATTATTTGTGGAATATAATGAACATAACAGTCTGAGGAATGGGGTAGTCCCATAAACGTGGAAGTCGGATACAGACTGACAATCCCCTAAAGAGGGAGGTGGTGGGGGAGAGATAAACCACAGAACTTATATGCATGTATGCATGAACAGTGGACATGGACAACAAACTGGGGAAAGGGCAGGGAGGGAGGGGGGAATTAGTGGGGGGAAAAGGAGAAACATTTGTAACAAAAATTAATTAATATAAAAAAATTTAAAAAACTAAAAAAAACTTAATGATTTGCTAATTATTTTCTTTAAATTCAGAATAAAGCACAGCTTTTATCATTATAAACATTATTCTAAATATATTATATTTTGCTAGATGGAGGATGTTACTGAAGATATAATCAGTATGGAATCACGTTTTAAAGAGAAAGAAACAAACTCCCCTTTGCTATTGCAAAGAATAGTGTTTCTAGACTTGAGGAGGTTAATGAGATTTAAATAAATGAAAGCTTCTGATTATCAAAAATTTTTTAAATTGCCTAATAATTGGTATTTTCCAAACTTTTTTTTTTTTTTTTTTTAATCCTCACCCGAGGACATTTTTCCATTTTTTGTACACATAGAGTGGGAGGGAGAGAGAGGAAGGGAGAGAGAGAGAGAAACATCGATGTGAAGGGACACATCGAGTGGCTGCCATCCACATGACCAACCAGGGCCGGGGACAAACTGCAACCGAAGTACATGCCCTTAGCGGGAACCGAACCCGGGTCTCTCCAGACTGCAGGCCGACGCTCTAACCGCTGAGCCAAACCGGCCAGGGCCCAAACTTTTTGAGGAAGATAGGTAATAGGGCTTGTCCTGTCCTATCTATCTATCATCTATCTATCTATCTATCTATCTATCTATCTATCTATCTATCTATCTATCATCTATCTATCTATCTATCATCTATCATCTATCTATCTATCATCATCTATCATCTATCTATATCTATCATCATCATCTATCATCTATCATCTATCTAATCTCTATTAACATTCATTAAGTTATATATCTAATCTTCTATAGTTTTTTTTTATGAGTGATCTAGTCTTCAGATTTTCTGTTTGAAGCACACCACATCCTCATAAGTTTGTGATTGAATTTTGCTTAATTTACCATGACTAAAAGCTATTAGATTTAGAGGCTCTACACCTTATAGAATAAAGAAAAGGAGAGTAATGGTAAAAAAAAAAAAATGTAACTTTACTTCTGAGAGAATGTCTAGAAGTTAAAGATGAACTGAAAAAAATATAAAATGTACCTTTATGGATGCAGACAAATGTCTATTTTGAAATCAGCAAATCTTTTTGGAATAATAGGCAATGAAGGGCTGGTACCTTACCTATTATTTTGCTGTTGCTTTCTCATTGCTCATTTATTAATCACTAAAAATGTTATCTGTAAAGAGTGTGTAAGTATTTTCACACATATTAAAGAGTTATACTTGGTTTGTTTGTTTATGGTTTTGAACTTTATTGAAAATATGAGAAAAATATAAAAGTTTGTGATGAATTGTTATTTTAAGCATTTCACTTAAGAAAGTGAATTTTGCCCTGGCCAGTTTGGCTCAGCGGTTAGAGCGTCAGCCTGCAGTTCAGAGAGACCTGGATTTGGTTCCGGCTAAGGGCACGTACCTTGGTTGCAGTTTGTCCCTGGCCCTGGTTGGTCGTGTGGGTGGCAGCCATTCAGTGTGTCCCTTTCATGTTGATGTTTCTCATTCTCTCTCTCTCTCTCTTCCTCTCTCTCCCTCACACTCTATCTGAAGAAAAAATGGAAAAATGTCCTCGGGTGAGGATAAAAAAAGAAAGTGAATTCTGACTATATTGTATAGTGTGTATACTAGTTAATCAATGGACTGGGATATGTTAATGATGGATGTCTTAAAATTAAGGCCTTAAAAATTGGAGAAATTACCCGTTTTCTTTATTTATTTTCAAAAAGACTATATAAAGAGAAATATCTCTTCCCTTTTATTTTGATATGCAGCACCTCCACTTTATACAATACTAGTTTTATCTGACAAAGATAAAATGAAGTATAAAACCTAGTTTTTTTGGTCTAATTTCACAGAATGAGGATGCTATTTTCTTAACCAGTATTCAACTCTGGGTTTAAGGAAATTATATTCATTTCCTGCAATCTTCTTTTCCTTCTATATCATATTGAAACTCTGTAGTGAAACATTCTTTTTGTCAATTATTTTGCTTTCCAGAGACTGCTTTGGATAGCTAAGTACATATTGGTGGCAGTGACTATTGGGGATTTGCTTTTGATATATAGTATGTATTTTTTAAAAGTCTATCTGTATTTATATAAAGAAACATCTACTGTTATCCAATCAGCAATCATTGATAATTTTAGAACTATATATCAAACCAAGCAGTTCAATTAATCCAATATCTGTTTAATACTTATTGTGTTCAAAGCTTAATACATCAGAGAAAACAATAAGTTGAGTGAAACACAATTGACATGTCAAGAGACCACATGATAGTGGGGGTGGGACAGTGAGGCTCGCCTGAGAGGCAGGGAGGGAAATAATATAAATCTTTGTGTTAAACCCAGGTTCTAATCTAGACATTGTATAAATCACATAATCTCTCTTTGCTTTCTTCTTCTGTATTATAAGAATAATTAAAATATTTATCTTTAAGGCTGTTTTATGTTAAATCTTACTAGACTACATGTATATATTTTAGATACTAGTACGATAGTGGCTCTTGAATTCAAGTAAAGAAGAAACCACCCTTAACTGAGATTATTTTGAAAAAGATTTGTGAAAAGATCATTTGAAATGTAGTTATAAAGGATGCTTAATATTTGAAGGATACATTATAAATATAAATAAGAACAGAGATAGGATATCCTGAAGGATTTTTCATAGTTCATATGGATAAATATAAAGACCTGCTAGGTTCAGAGGAATAGTTTAACTAAGCATATTAGCCAGTGAATTCTTGGTTGCAGGTAGCAGAACCTGGATATATGTGGCTTAAGCATGAAAGAGGTTTGTTGGATCATGTCATATAAAAATTGCTAAAGTATGTATGTGAGCATTCTTTCATAACTTTGCCTTTGTTTTCTTCCATGCTGGCTTTATTCTCTGAACAGACACTATTATATCTTATTCTTAGCTATGCATATGGTTATTCCTTGTTAACCCAGTTTTTTGTTTGTTGTTGTTTTTTCCAGATATCTACTTCTTTATAAAGAAGAGGAAGTTTTTGATTAATAATATAAGCCAACTCTTGTGGTTCCATTTTCCTTGCCAGAGATTGTTTTAAGAATGGGCTTATGCTGCAATTCTGGCAATTCCTGGGGCCTTCCGGGAAGTTCTCTTAGTCCTCAAATGAGACCCAAGAAAGAGAAGTGTTTTCAGCCCTTTATGATGTTGTATGATAATGACTTAGCCATTAATTGCCCAGAAAGAAAATTAGGGAAAAACATAAACAAAGGGAGGAAAAAACTGAAGAAAAATGAGCAGAAATGCTGCTTATATGTCCCTGGGGATTATTTACCTGTGAATTTTACATTATGTAAGATTTTAAATTTCATTTTGTAAGCTAATTGTTTCAGGATTTTCTGATAACATAACTAAATGCATCCTAATGGATACATTTGGTTAGGCTTGGCAACCAAAGAGAAGGAGAGCTTCTTTTCCCCCAGAGTTCCAGTTAATTCCCTGGGATAACTCTTATAGAAGCAACCTTTTTTCGCATATCTATACCTAATCCAACTTCTCTGGGTCTAGTGCCAGCCCTAGAGCTGTCGACTGAGCAGCTCCACACAACAAATTACCTAGACTGAGTGAGAACTGGGAGAACAAGAGTTGTTACCAAAATAAGTGTGAATGAAATCTAGGGAGGCTAAACAATAACTTTCCATTATGGTAAACTTAAAAAGTGAGGATATATGCTATTAATAATTATTAGACTTTCACCTACTTTTTAAAAAATATATATTTATAATTTTTTTTGTTACAGGTGTTTCTCCTCTTTCCCTCATTGAGACTCTCCTCCCCACACCCCCACACCCCATCACAGCTTTGTTGTCTATGTCCATCAGTTATGCATATATGCATATAAGTTCTGTGGTTTATCTCTCCCCCCCCAACATCCCCTCTTCTGAGGATTGTCAGTCTGTACCCTACCTCTATATTTCTGGGTCAATTTTGTTCATCAGTTTGTGTAATTCATTATATTCCACAAATAAGTTAGATCATGTGATATTTGTCTTTTTCTGCTTGTCTTGTTTCGCTTAGCATAATACTCTCCAGGTCCCTCCACATCATCTCAAAGGATAAGAGATATTTCTTCCTTACAGCTGCATAGTATTCCATTGTGTGCAGAGCTTTTTTATTCACTCATGTATGATGAACACTTGGGTTGTTTCCAGATTTTAGCTATTGTAAATAGTTCTGCTAAGAACATAGGGGTACATATATTTTTTCTGATTGGTATTTCAGGTTTCTTAGAGTATATTCCTAGAAGTGGGATCACTGGGTCAAATGGCAGTTCAATTTTTAATTTTTTGAGGTAACACTATAGTGTTTTTTATAGTGGCTGCACCAGTTTGCATTCCCACCAGCAGTGTACTAGAGTCCCCTTTTCTCCACACCCTTGCCAGCACTTGTTGTTTGATGATTTGTTGATGACAGCCATTCTGACAGGTGTGAAGTGATACCTCATAGTTGTTTTAATTTGCATTTGTCTAAAGATTAGTGATGTTGAGAATTTTTTTATATGTCTCTTGGAGATTTTCACCTACTTTTTGTGAAGTGACAAGTCAGCAGCTTCCAAGTTTCCCACCCACAGAAGTTACAACATGACTCTTAGTCAAGCCTACGTGCTCTTAGCTAACTGACATCCCAGTTTTTCTATTTAGGCCACACAGCAAAGGAGCCATAAAGTGTCTATAACACAATAGACTGTCCCTGAGACATTGCATATTTCTATGAGAACTAGAGAAAATATGCTTAGAAAACTTTTTGAAAGGCAGTTTTCTAATTATATTTCCTCTAGTGAGGGTGTGAAGAAAAGGGGATTCTGCTGGTGAGAATGCAGACTGGTGCAGCCACTATGAAAAACAATATGGTGTTCCCCTGGCCAGTTGGGCTCAGTGGTTAGAGAGTTGGCCTACGAACCAGAGAGTCCTGGGTTCAGTTTCCACTAAGGGCACATATCTCAGTTGCAGCTTGTCCTTGGCCCCGGTTGGGGTCGTGTGGGTGGCAACCACTCGATGTGTCTCTCTCCCATTCATGTTTCTCTCTCTTTCTTCCTCCTTCTCTCCCTCCCACTCTATATCTCAAAATAAAATGCAAAAATGTCCACAAGTGAGGATTAAAAAAAAACCCACAACAATATGGTGTTTCTGCAAAAAGCTAAAAATTGAACTGCCATTTTACCTAGTGATTCCACTTCT